TTACCTTCCTCTCCCCCTCCCTCCCTTCCTCTCCCTCTCCTCTCTGCCCTGTGCTGCTTGTCTCCTTGGGTGCTGCCTTTCTCTTTTCTCTCTGCTTCTCTCTTCCTCTTGTTTCCTCTCCACCTCTACCTCTTTCCTCCTCCATCTTTCCCCCATTTTTCCTCTCTAATATGTACCCCTCCCTTCTCCTTAAGAGGAGCCTGTCGAGTCCAGCTCACTATTAGGAGCAAAATCCAGCCAGAGGCCAGGCTGCTCCAGGGCGTCTGCATTCAGATTCATCTCCTCCCCGGGCTGAGCTGCCAGCCTGTGAAGGCCTTGGTCCTCGTGCTCCTTTCTGCCTGGGTGACCTGGGCACAGCCTTCCAGAGTCGCTGGTGTCCAGGTCTGTGTTGAGGACCTTGGGCTCCCTCAGAGCTGGCATCCAGTCACAAGAGGTTGTATGGCCAGGCCTCAGAGGTCATCTAGTTTGGTTGTTTTCTCAAACCTTATTTATTTTTAAGCAGTAGACTGTTTTTAAAACAGTTCTGTGCATAACTGCAACATACAAAACAAAAACAGCGGCTTTGGTAAAAGTGGGGGTGAGGACCTTGATCTGGTCTGTCTGCCCGTGTTCTACACAGGCTCCTTATTTAGTGAGCAGTATGGGGAGGGGGCGCACAGGAAGAAGAAGACATGGACTCCGGAGGGCAGGCGGATGGGGGGTGAGCAGAGACAGACCTGTCATACCTGGAACACTTAGAGCAGGAAAGGATGCTAGGAGAAATAGGTGCAGGGGTGTGTGGCACAGAGCCCGACAGGCCACAGGACGTCCCAGGTCGGGACCTAGCAGAGGCTGGGAGTTGCTCAGGGAGGCGACCAGTCAGAGGAGACAGTGGTGAAAGCACGGCCTCTGAGGCAGGCGAGTGGGTGGGCTCTCTTCTGAGGCAGGCGAGTGGGTGGGCTCTCTTCTGAGGCAGGCGAGTGGGTGGGCTCTCTTCGGCCAGGGCCTCCCACTGCCCTGGCTGGAGCTGCCCTTGGTCCTGGGCAGCAGAATCCAGTCCTTGGGTCCAGAAGGGCCCTTCTTCAGGCATGCAGGTTGGTGGCTGGGCCAGGCTGGATCTTGGCCAGAGTCACTGGTGCTGTGGTCTTGAACAGGATCCTCCTGGGTCGGGTCCCTGGCTCCATTCCTACTGTGCTCCTCATCACCGCAGTCACATCTTCATCGTTGGTAGTGACTCTGCTCTTGGCTGGGGCCTCTGTGTGACAGCTGGGGCCTTGTTTAGCTGACCAGATGCCCTGGGTGGTAGGTTGCCTGTGATGTCCAAGAGATTATTGGTACTTCTGGCCAAGAGCAGTGATTTAGGCATGATTTCTTGGGCTCCCTAGTTGCTTCTGGTTGCCAGAGCTTCCCCACAAGTGCCTTGGGAACCAAGCCATTTGAAGCCAGGATAGAAACACCATGTCCCCCAGCTGGTTCCCATGGATCACTGTGATGATGGCGATGATAACGAAAGACTGTTCTTCATGCACACCCTCTGGTCCTGCATCCAAGTGGTTATGTCAGGAGTGGTTATGCTAGGAGGACCCTGGAATTGTCACCAAGCCAGCCTTCCTTTCTCAGTGCTCACCTTGACCACAGAGCTCCCAGGTGCCACACATCTGTTTATGGTGGAATGACCAACCTCTGGCACCATTGCCTGATGTCCACTTAACGTGCACCAGTGGCAGACATCACTAATCACTCACAGTTCTCTTCCCCCTTGAGCCCAGGTGAGGGCTCATGGTCTTCATGGAGCTGTGCTCAGATGCCAGTTCTGATCTGTGGTATTCATTCATTCATTCATGAGTCTAGTAAAACATTTATTGAGCTACTGTTATGACTCAGACATTCAGTACAAGGAAGAGAAGACATGGTCCCTGCCTTGTCAACAGGAGCTCTGAGTATGGTAGACAGACATGAGAATGGCTCATTACTACATAATGCGGTCAATTGAAGAGCAGAGTTAGAACTCTCTTTGCCAGGAGCACAGAGGAGACAGGACCTAATCACCGAGGGTGTCAGGAAGGGGCCAGAGTCTTTGTGCTGCGTGGGACTGAGCCAGCGCTCTTCATGTGTACCCTGTGCTTAATGATGCCAACAGTGGATGGGAGGGCCACAGAATGGTCTCATCGGAGTTACGGGACAGAGCCTGGCCAGAGACCCAGCCCTGGTGACCCATCCTAACTAGGGCCTTCTCCCCCACAGGAGCAGGGGCTGAAGGCCAATAACTCCAAAGAGTTAAGCATGTGCTTCACAGAGGTGAGTGAGGGGCAGGCTGGGGAGTGGGTGTGGGGGACTGGGCCAGAGGGGGCTGTTTCCCTGGTAAGCCTCTGACTTGAAGCCCCAGATCCCACTGCAAGGGCTGGGCCAGCTGAGCTTCTGGCCCGCCTGGACCTGGGTGGTCACTCACTCTACTGGAGGGGGGAGGGCGGGTGCAGAGTCTGCATTCAGGACCCTGGGCTGTCTCCTTGGGTGACAGACAAGTGGCTGCTCTGAGCAGAGGCCCTTCCAAGCCTTCCTGATTCTTTAAGACAAGTGTACCAAGCACCTGCTCTATGTTGGTTCTATGCGATCGAGGGGATAGATGGAAAAGGACACAGTCCCTTCTTGGAAGAAGCCCCAGCACAGGAGTATACCTGTGACTACATAGGTATAGTATATGTGTAACTTTGATGAGAAGAGAGGGCAGTGTCCGATTCCACAGAAGGAGAGAGCTCAGACAGAGATGTGCACGGAAGCTGCAGGGAGGAGGAGGGGGATTCAAGCACATTTAGGAACAGGAAGAATGGAGCTTCTCGGTCCTCTCCTCTCGAGAAGCAGGTCCTTGTGGACCCCAGGACCTTCTTGAGATCTTTATACCGTGCACCTCCTTGCCGGACACAGACCTTCTTCCCTACTTGCCAGCATCAGCCAAGGCGGGAGAGCAGCCCATTTTCTTGGGGACTGCTGCCCTGTCTCCCTGAGTGAGGGCTCAGCCCAGCTCCGCGGAAGCCTGGCTTGCCTCTGAGCGAGCGCAAGGAGAGTCCCCCTGGGTGGACTGGAGGGCAGGGGCTTGAGGAGTCCCCTTCCCAGTCCCTTTCTTTGTCTGACCCCAGCCCTGCTGTCTGTGGTTCTCTTTGCTGCAGCTCACGACCAATATCATCCCAGGGAGGAACAAGGTCATCAGACCTAACTCAGGCCCCTGCAGAGCCAGACCCTCAGCTGCCTTGACTGCTGTCTCCCTCCTGATGCTGAAGCTGGCCTTGTCGGTGCTGGGAGCCGCGTCGGGAGATTGCTGAAAGCTACACAAATGAGAACCCCTGCCTGACAAAATGGAAACACACACAGACACACACACACACCTTGCAAAAAAATTTTTTTCCCACCTTGTCTCTGAACCGTCTCCTCCCAGGTATCTTCTTTGGAGAAGTTTTTCTAAACCAACAGACAAGCAGGCAGGCAGCCTCAGAGCTGGCCCAAAGGTCCCCCAGCAAGGGGAGCCCAGTGCAGAGGAGGGCACAGGAGTCTAGAAATGCCCTTACTTCGTCCTGGTGTTTTCCTCTCTGGACCCTGGTGACGTAAGAGACTGAGGCGCCCCGTGCAGCCCAAGGGACTGTGCCTGTGCTGATGTGGGCTGGGGCAGGACGGCGACAGCTGCTCCTCTCAAACTGCCCACTCGGGGGACCCGCCAGGGGACTGGCAGAGGGTGTTGGGCAGCAGAGCAGTGAGGCTGGCCCCTGGGGGTCCAGCTGGGCACCTTCATCACCTCCGCTTGGCTTCAAGGATGGAGTTGATTTTGTCCTCCCTGTCTGCGGACTGAGTGGGTCTGCGTCTGACCTGGGAACCCCCAGGGCTGCCTGTGGAGGGGCACTGCCCCCCCTGAGTAGCACGGAGGGGCAGGGGCCAGCTCTGCGGGGGGGGGGGCTTGGGAGCTCAGCCCGCCAGGAGACCCCGTTGGGAGGAAGGAGCAAACTGGAGCACCAGCTCAAGGCTGTGTCTTCCTCCTCCGTGGCAAGAATTTTGAAATCAGAAATGATTCTTTGTTGGCTCTTTTGGTTTCTCATAGGTCCATTTGGCGGGTCTCCCTTCAGGGAGAGGGGACGCTGAGAGGGGCAGAGAAGAGCAGGGGGGACGTCTCCCTGCACCACGCTGTGGTCTCGCAGCTCTCTCGTCCTCTCTCCTCCCTGCTCCTCTCTCCCACCTTCTTTTTGCTATTCCTGAGACGTCGCCAAGTGTATGTACATAACAAGGCTCCTTTCTCAACATATATGTATATACACATCCATATACATATATCGTGTGGTCTCCCCTTTCTTTTCTTTTTTTAAAGAAACTATCGAAATAATACCCCAGCAGATAAGCAAAATGTATTATTGTAAAGTTTATTTTTTTTAATAATGTTGTCTATAATGGCAAAAAAAGGAGATTGACTACTCCCCGTGTCCCTGCCCGAGTCGGGCTGACTGGGCTGTGGAAGGGGCTCCTGATCCGTATTCATGCTTAGCCAAGGCTCCAATAAACGTACTAGGAGGCAGTTTGCCTTCTGCCGCACTGCGGTGTGCCTCTCCTTGTTTTGTTCTTGGCCCAGTGCCACCTCTTGGCTGCTTACCTGGGGCCCCCACTGGCCTTGGGGAGAGTGTGTGTGTGTGCGCGTGTGTGTGCATGCCCAGGTGTCTCCACCCATCACATGTCCTCGATGTGGGTGACGGGGCTCTGTGAGGAGGTGGGTTTATACTTGTAGGGTCTGAGGGTCCTGGCTGAGCTAAGTCTGCTGGGCCGTTCACCCTTCATCTCCCACCTCCTCTTCCCAATCAGAGCCAGTTCCCATTGGTCTCAAACTGGAAGAGAGTGAAAGTAGCCATGGGGAATGAGGGAGAGACAGCTTGGTGTTACACCTCGGGTATGTTTTTGTTTAAGACTGCCTGGGTGACCCTGTTAGGTGGCCCTGTGAGTCTTATGTAGATGGGCTGGTGTCTTCCTGGTGGGACTTCTGGTTTATGTAGGGTATGTGATTGTGAAGGCAGGGACCTGGACTCTTGGGTCCCACCAGAGAAGGAAGACAACTGTGGGTGTTTGGGGTTGGGGTCCAAAAGAGCAAAGTTTTTTTTTTGTCTATCTCCATCCCTTCCTTCCACCCAGACACTGGGCATGCTGTATTCTCTTGGAGGGGTTCTCCCCAGAGAGGATGAGGAGGATGGCTGCTGGCCAGGTGTGTGCACGTATGTGTGTGGGCTTGTGAGTGTTCACGTGCACGTATGAGTGTATGCATGTGGCAGGAGGGAGGAGGGAGGACTGCTAGGTGAGAGGTGTTCCCACTGTTAGCAAGGCCTCCAGGGCTGCACACGAATCCATCCTGTCACCATCGGGAGATGGGAGGCTATTTTCTAGGCTCCCAATCCTGGGTCCCCCCAAGTGGCCCTCACTTCTGGTTGCGCACGCACTGGGACATTGGTCCATGGTGGTGATCACTCTGGTGTGCTATGTTCTGGCCTCTGCATAGAGGGACAGTGAGCTAAGCCAGCCCTCATCCCCACCACCGCTGGCCTTACTGTGGGTAGAGAGGGCCATGGAGTCTGCTTGGGAATCCATATTCTTTGCAAACAGGAAAGACTGGTTAACTTAAAAGGCTTTGTGGGGCGGGGGGGTGAGTGGGGGCGGCCCTGTGGGTTAGCGGTTAAGTGCGGGCGCTCCGCTACTGGCGGCACGGGTTCGGATCCCGAGCGCGCACCAATGCACCGCTTCTCCGGCCATGCTGAGGCTGCGTCCCACATACAGCAACTAGAAGGATGTGCGACTATGACATACAACTATCTACTGGGGCTTTGGGGAGAAAAAGGGAAAAAAAGGAGGAGGATGGGCAATAGATGCTAGCTCAGAGCCAGTCTTCCTCAGCCAAAAAGAGGAGGATTAGCACAGATGTTAGCTCAGGGCTGATCTTCCTCACAAAAAAAAAAAAAAAAGTCTTTGGGGAAAGGCGGCTCACAGAATCAGTGGGAGGAGGGGGAGGACCAGGGGAGCCTAGGGGCAGGAACCTAGGATATCTGAAGGGCTGGGAGGCAGGATCTGTAGGGTCAGCACACTGCTGCCTCTGTGATGAACAACCACCAGCCATCATTCAGCTGGCTGAATTGGGTCCTTGTGTCTACCTCTTGCTGTATTTGGGTGGGAGAGGAGAGTATGTCACGTCTGGCATCCGTAATGGGAGCAGCCCCTGGATTGCATAATGGGGAGAGAAAATTTCCCAAAAGGAAAATGGAGGTGCCATTATGAAGGAGGAGTGGCGGCTGGTGAGCTTTACTCTGCCTTAAAATATCTCCCAATCCAGGTATCACAGAGCTGAAATTTTACCATTAAATATTCATTGCTTTGGTTGAGACGATTCCTGTCCTCTATGATTTTCTCAAAAAATGTAAATAGAATTGGGAAGAATAAAATGTTACTATTTTAATGCTAATTAGTTTAATGGTTTGAATGAATTTAGTGACATTAAGACACTTGGGCCTAGATGCTGAGATTGCGGTTGGGGGAAAGGGAGAGGAAGGGAATCAGGAGAAGGTGGTAGGCACGAGAAATGGAGCTGAAATTATGTCCGAGCTCTTTTGGGGAGAGTCAGCCACATGCGGTATAGGCCCACTGTTCCTTTACCCCAGAGTCAGCGAAGTCTATAAAATTATACTTTCTTTGCCACTGGCCCCCTGGGGATTTTTGATCTGGGGCTGGCATCTGTCTGCAAGGCTGTCTTGTCCTACGTTTTCTAGGCTCCAGTACCTTGTCGAGACTGACACCGCATAGGAATGCTTCTCCCTCTCAGGGCAAGCTCTCAACCTGGGACAATTTTGCTCAGCCAAGAAGTCAGCCGTCAGCTTCCCACCTGGCTCTTACCCCTGCCGCCCTCCTCTCAATGCAGCAAGGACCACTCGACCTGGGCTAACGGCCCAGCGGAGCCCCCCGGTAGCGAGGGCCTAAGGAGGCCGGGTCAGAAGCTCAAGGACTTGGCGTTGAGTGAGCAGCGCCCTGGTCCTGCGCTGACGTGGCGGCAGGCCCCACAGCTGGGCCTCTGCCTTGTTGGAGACCAGACACGGTCGTGATCTCAGTCCCTTGCACCCCAGGCCCTGCCTTCATAACCTGCTTGGCAACACAGGTTTCCCAGGACTGAGCCCAACGCTGTTCTCGCAAGTCCTTCCAAGACACAAGCCCTGACTTGATCCTCAGGTCCTAGCTGGGTCCTGCTGTCTCCACCAGACTTTCCTGAGTCTAGGCTGCTCCAGGCCTGCCAGGATGGCCATTCTTTCCTGCTCCTGGGCTCCTGCCCGTGGCTTACCTGCTCACTGAGAAGCCCACCCAGGAGCCCTGCTTTAACCTCCCCACTGCTGGTTAACTGCTGGTCCCTGGGCTCCCAGAGTCTGATGGTCCATTTGCAATGGCTTAACTTCACGCCAAAAGACCTTGTGTGTGTGTGTGTGTGTGTGTGTGTCCATCCCTAGTTCCCAGCCAGGTCCCACGGACCTCCAAATGCCTGAATAAGACGAAGACTTTCCTTTACTCACATAAGGGCAAGGCCCCAGTGTGACCTGCCAGCTGGAGGGATTCTTTGCCAGCCTTTTCTAATCTGTGAAGTGAGTTTAAATCGGGACTTCGCTCTCAAGTCAGCTAGGATGCCAGGAGACGCAACTGGTCACGTACTCTTTGTTAACACAAGTAAGCGAATTCATAGCCTCTTGCTCATTCTTTTGAAGCTTCTCAGTGGGGGTAGATATTTGTCTTTTAAAAATAGGTTAAATTTTTTAGGAAAAGCCAAAGTCATTTGGACCCCAAATTTACCAAATGGTAAATTCGGTGGGTAACGTTCTTGGTGGTGGGTTAGTGGTGGTGAGGCTGGTGTCTGGTCACCTTATTCAGCCTTGATTACCTCACCTACAAAGTTCTACTAGATGGTAATTAATGTCCTTCTCAACTTGAAACAAGCTCTGGAGGGGAGGGGAGGAGAAGGGAGGAGAGACACACAGAAAGACAGAGACAGACAGGTGAGGTGGTCTTCCTGCCCAGTGCCTCCAGTGTTCTGAGTAATGGGAACGAGCCTGTCTGCCTGGGGAACCACCTTGCATTTCTGAGTTCTGATATATTTTCTAAAAACCCAGCCCTACTACTTCATCGTTACACCTCCTACGTTCAAACAAGTGGGTAAATAGAAGGGCTGTGAAATCTTCACAAAGATGTTGGTTACAAAGTCAGGGCTGTGTAGCACATCAATTAACCAGAGCGTTTCTCCACATTCCACTTCTGGAGTGAAGTGCTTATTTTGTGCAGTACCTTCCAGAGCAGAAAAAGGAGAGTGAACTAAAAGTTTTGGAAGGATTTTGATAGCATCACTGAAAACCAAGACCAAAATCCAATGTAGACATTTTAAAATATGTATATTTAAGATTTAACTAATGCTTTCATAGCCCTCACCGTGTGCCAAGCCCTGTTCCAAAATTGCATGAGTATTAATTCCTTTCATCCCCACTGGGATGCAACGAGGTTGGCGCTGTATCCCCATTCTACAGATGAGCAGACTGAAGCACAGACAAGTTCCTATCTTGCCCAAGATCGTACAGAGTGTAGGTGGCAGTGCTCAGACGCAAGCCCAGGCAGGCTGACTTGTTGGTCTGTGCTTTAACCGCCGTGGCCGTGCCAGGCTGCCGCCTGAACTGAGCTGCCGTTTTGGTGCCCTTCCCTATGCTGGCCTGCGGCTGCCCAGACAAAGGCAGCCACTTCCCTGGGGGCTTCAGTTAATCTGGGCATCTTTGTTGCACTCTCCTCTCCCTCTCCAGGGAAAATGGTAGCTCATTAAATCCAGTATGGTGTGGACTCAAGAAAGGAG